TTTATAAAATGATGTATCATTGGTATATGACGCCAGAGAAATTATCTAGAATGTATAAAGGGACTTCAGCTGTATGTTGGAAATGTGAAAAGCACGAAGGGACATTTTATCATCCTTGGTCGACATGTAAAAAAGCTAAAAAAAATGGATTCAAATACATACTTTAATACAGAGGATTTTAAAGATTAATATTCAGTTGAAACCAGAACTTTTCCATTTAGGACTAATGGATAAACAAAAAAGCCATGGAAGATTATTTCAATATATGATTACTCTGGCAAGATTATTATATGCACAGAGATGGAAAGATTCAACACTACCCACTATGGAGGAATGATTGGTGAAATTGACATATCTTGCTGGATAAATGGATAAATTAACTTTGATTAGAGAAAAGACACTATCTACACTTATTGGTGACTGGAAATCTCTTATGGATTTTTTGTGTAAAAATGAAAAAAATGAACTTGTGATTTATGGCTTTGATGATTAAACAGGATAGATTATAGAAAGAAGAGTATTATGATGTAACTTTAGAGAGGTTAAAATGTAATTGCACTTATGACAGCTGTGAAGAATATTGGAAGCCACTTCTATGTATCTTTTTTTCCTATTTTTTTAAACTTATTTTTTCTTTTCTTGCACTTTTTCCTTTCTCTTTGATTTCTTTTTCTTTTTTCTTTCTTAATTTATATTAGTTTCTATTAGTTCTTATCTTTTTTTAAAAAGTGTTAATATTTTTTATCTTCTTTTTTAAAAGTTTAATAATTAATTAATGTCTTTAATAAAGAAATAAGAACTTGTCCAAAGTTATTCAATGGTTGAGGTTGACTTCCACCTAGAATCATCATCATCATCATCATCATCATCATCATCATCATCATCATCATCATCATCCTTAACCAAAATGTGGTACAAAATAAAACAAAAAACCAGCAATACAATGGTTACTTGAGGGACTGCTTGTCTCCCATAGTATCTGCCTGGTCAATTCATTCTTGCAGAGTTGATGGACTCCAGATTCCTTCGGTTAAACAATGTCATCTATCGGGACCCTGGAAACACATCTTCTCTGTAGCAGTCTCTGCCCTCTGGAACAAAGTTTCCCCTGATATCTGGATGCCCCTACTCTGCTGTTGTTTAGAAGAGCCATGAAGTCCTGGCTTTTTACCCAGGCCTCTGGCAAAGGAGAAAGAGATCCCTTGCCTCATGAAGCTTGGCATCTTTTATCTTCATCTTTTTATGTTTTATTAATTTTATTGTAATTTCTTTTTTTTTATTTATTGATGCAAGCCACTCAGAGTCATTGTGAGTCAGGTGCCATACAAGTTTAATAAATTATTATTTTTATTATTACAAACCAATCCAATAAAATCAACTCAAAATCCAGTAAACAATACTAAAACAACCAACACAACAACAATAATAATAATCAATGTCCAAGAACGAAGTGTCCCTAATAATTTAAACTATTATCCATAATAATTTAAAACAAATTAACCTGGAACTGTCAGCTGAATAAGAGTAGGATGCAACAACCAGATCCACTCTTCAAATAAAAAGGCATTGAAAACCCTTTTGAAGGCCATCAAATTTCCATGGAGGGAGAGAACTGATTTTACAACCTGCAGGCTGGCACCCTGGCCTGAGGAACCAAAAGAAGGCCCTGCCTAGAAGAATATAAAGAATTAAAAGGGTTGTAGGGAGAAATAAAGGCAGACAGATACTGGGAGTTTACCAAATACTGCTATCAGGTCCGAAAAGACCAACACTAATGTAAGGTGCTGGGACTTGGCCACCAGAATGTTATGCAGGATTTGAATTCCGCAGTCCTAGTCCAAAACTGTAAAACGAGACAGGACTAAAAAGATATGGTATGGAAAGATAAGGAATTGAATAAGGGAAAGGAAAACAAGTTTCAGACAGCTCTGATGGAAATGGGCAGTTTCTCCCTGTCTGTTGTTTTCTGTCATGTCAGTTGAGTCATTCACAATGGCCACTGTTCCGAAGCTTTTGTGAGTATTCCCACTCAGCTCTTCCCCCAGGGACACCTGCATTCTTGTTTTAAAATGTCATTTGGAATGTTATTAGAAGGGTCTGTCACTATGTCCTGTAACACCAATCTTGTTATTTTGCTATTCCTCCTGGAATGGAACGTTCTGAATATTTTCCTGCCAAGTGTGACTGGGTGGCAGAAGAAGGAGAGATCTGCAATTTAATTACCTCAACGTCACTGGAAACATGGAGAGAACATGTCTTTGAAGAACAAAAGCAGACCAAAAATACAACAAGCAAAAAACTAGCTACAGTACATGGCTGTTTTTTGTTTTTCTTCTTTGATTCTGAGATCCTGCTCTGCTGGTTGCAATGCCATTGTTACTTGCCTGGAGTGTATCAGTTTGGTATCATGACTGTGCATAAACTAGAGGTGAATCACTGTAGCACAGTACCTTGCTTTTAAAAATGCACACCTAATGTAAGGTAGGAATGAAACACATAAATGTAGTTCCATTTAGCCCCAAAAGAAATTGTAGATCCCTTACATGTTTTTACAAAGGAGAGGACTAAAGGGTTAGGGTTAGGGTTGCAACACCAGGAGCCTCCCCAGAAGTCCCCCAAGTGAGCGGGGCTGAGGCTTCAGATCAATATTGTATTTTTTGAGATTTGAGGGAGGGAGGAAACAGGCACCTTAAATCTTGCAAAGAATTGCAACCCCCCTAATCAGGCCCCCTGTGGCCCTCAAAGAAGATATACTGTAACCATCAAGCCCAAAAAACCTTTACTACCCTGATTTAATGTGATATGTAAATCCAACAAAATATTGTTTATTCACCAATAAACAGTATTTTCACTAATTCACCAGTATTAAGTAAATTGTGATTTTGCAAGATGTGGAAACCCAACCACTATCTTCTATTCACACAAATGCATCTGATATAGCTAAGTGAGCTACATCTTCATAGTTAACAGCTCCCATTTTCCTGACCTTTTGAAAGATGTATTTCTGTATTATATTGTCTCTGTATCATATGCTCTGTTAAAGAGCATTGGTTGTCCTTGCTGAGCTAGAAGCTACGCAGTGTTGGGCCTAGGAAAGTACCTCTAGGGAACACCATGCTGCTTGGCTAGACTGAGCAGCTGAAAAACATCTCAAAAGGTGGCCGTAGCAAATGACTTCCCCAATGTTGTCAAGAAAACTGCATGGTTATCTGCAAGAAGTCAGGAGCCAAGCTCAATTTTTACCTCCACACTTACAGGAGAAAGGGAATTGGGGCCCAATAAATATGGCTACATTGGAGCTATAATTCTAGTTTTACAATTAAAAAAAATTGTTCCCTTATTTTTTTCTGTTCAGTTTCATCTCCAATGTACAATAAAGAACAAGCCAATAATCTGTCTTCCTAGAGATAAACCCTTTAATTGTATTTCAGTGGTGCATTTTCCTCTTCTAGCTAGCTGAAAAATTGTACTTCTGTTGGGTTTTGTTCCTCAAATGCTTTTGTAATTTTTTAAAAAGGCAAATGCAGCAGCATGGAAAATATGGCTTGATTAAACCATGATGCTATCTAGACCTTCTATAAAAATCCATGGATGCAGGAAAATTGCATTACAGAATGCTCATTTGCAAGCACACAAACTTTCAGATACTTGTCTACTACAGCAAGCTATTTTTTGTCATTTGATTCCATTTCTTTGGGTTGTCTGATCAAATAATGGCATGGAGTTCCCAACTAAGAGTTTGACAAGAAATATGGACTTTCCTTTAAATACTTTTGAAACCCCAGCCACGGAATTTTCAAAGTGAAATGGTAAGACTTCTTAGTCTAAAGATTCTTCTCACTCCTAATCCAAATGATTTCATAATTCCATACATATCCCTTCCTCATATTATTCTGGTGAGATAGACAACATTCTGCCTTACATATTCTTTGCCACTTACCATCCTCATTGGCGTTATTGGGAATTGAAGTCCAAAATCTTGGGACAGCATCAGATTGCTAATCAATGCACTAAATAAATTTTAGCAAACCACCTCCAAAATCCTCAGGTTCCCTATTCTCTGCTTTGGTGCATAACACAGTTAACCTTTTGAACAAGGCTCAGTACAGAATTTGAAACAATAATTGTAGTTGACTATGCATGAACCAAGCCACTATGGCCTGTTGAAAGAAATTTGTTTAGGACTCTGCGTTATAGAGCAATATATGACCCAAAGCTGTGCCTGAATGCTTAAAATTCATTTTAATTTCATTTAATTCAATATCCTTGATTCTAGGACTCTTTCATTGGACTCCCACTTTGTCACCTTGCTAAATTTCTCCTGACTTTTTAATAAAGCTAGATATCTTGCCAATATGCATCACCATACCAGACTAGTGGCTAATAAAAGTTTAAGTGCCCCTTCCTGTAACTGTCAGTTCTAGAATTACAGCTACCACAAACCAGGAGTAAAAAATGGTGCCACTTCCCTACAGACTCCAGATGAGTCAGAATCAAACAAGCCAGTGAATTAAGATTGTCATAAAGATGAAAGGCAAGCACAAGATCATTTATTTATAGCAAAGGTCTTGGGTTACAAGAGGTCAGTTCTTGCCATCTTGAAGAAACATTAAACAGATTAAGTTATTGCATACATGTGCATTATAATTTAGCAGCAAGTCATTCACAGAACACAATTTCCTTTCGTACTGCCGCCTTACTTTTTTTTTCTTTTTTTTCTTTTTGGTTTAGTCTCTCAAATTGTATAGAGATAAATCTTTTCGGCTTTTACAAAGCATGTAACACCACCTTTAAGTTAATGGTCTTTTATTGGAAAAAAGACTAGCATTTACAACTTGGAATGGACATAACTGTACTATCTTGAACATCGATGTTGATAGTTGTGCTGAAGTCCACCGGCTCCTCTGCCAGCTCCAAGTCTTGGTACAGTAAATTTTAAAAATGCAACAGAAAGAGAGAGAGAGAGAGAGAAAGAGAGAGAGGGAGAGAGAGAGAGAGAGAGAGAGAGAGAAGGAGCATGTACCCAAAGGTGCTCCTGCCCTTTGGTAAAGATTTTGTTAAAACTTTTGAGAACGGTAATGGCCCAACATCCGTTCCACAATAGTGCAATGCAGACAATTTTAAAATCAATGTAGTAACACAGAAATGCCACCTATTTGCTTTTGGAAACAAACTACAGCTACATATTGGTGAGCCTTCTCCACCTTGAGCGGGGATGGGGGTGGGAGATTGCCTCTAAACTTTTTCCAGTCCTCAGCCACTTTGCTGCATACCACCTGAGGTATAAAACAATTTGAAAGTAACCAGCTATGACAATTTTATAACTACAGATTCAGCCAGAATCCACTTTTGTACAAAAGAGTGATTAGGCTTTTTTCCCTTTAAGATTTTTCTCCTTTTTAAAACTGTTTTAATATAAATGTCTGACTGTGCTCAATTGTCAAGCTGCATGCATGAAAAACTGGCCAGCCCAAACAGAGTAATAGTTATTAGCAAATGGAACTTTTTGAGGAGTTCACTAAGTGCTTTCTTATTTTTAAAAGGCAGTACAATTATTTATATTGGAAAAAAACTGATGGCTAACTTGATCTTTTGGGAACAGGACCACCAACCATTACATGCAGTTTGTGGACAGAAGGTATTTCAGCATTCAGTTTTGCTATACAGAAACAGAATGAATAAATGAACATTTTTTTTTTGCAAGAGGTAAGTAAAAGATTCAATTTGATTCTTCTAGAGGAAAAAAAGGTGAAAGGAGGTCTCTTCACTTTGCAGTCATCATCTGTACGAATTCTGAAAGAAACAAAGAAACACATTTTTAGCCATTTTAGAAATGAAACAAACATAAACAACTTGTAATGCACAAATCCAGCTATTCTAAGATGCACAAGATGAACAATCCACAACTTCTAATGCCCCACTTTAATTTCCGTTCTTTCAAAATGCTATAGTTACAGGAATCCACGTTGTACCTTCATAGTTGACTTGTCCATCTCCGTCAATATCTGCTTCTCTGATCATTTCATCTACTTCTTCATCTGTTAGCTTTTCTCCTAAGTTTGTCATAACATGACGTAGTTCTGCTGCACTTATGTAACCATTGCCATCCTGGGGGGAGGGGGAAGGACAAATAGCACAACATTAAGGGGAACAGAAACTTCCAGAAGAAATTTTTACAATACAACTAAATGTGGCAAGTTCTTTGGAAATGAAAGATCCTGCAAGGATAACAGGACAGTGTTTGTCTATCAACCAAGTACATGTTTTGGTTACAGAAGGTTGTATGTTCAGTCTCTGATACCTCCAGCCCAAAGGATAGCAGCTAATAGGAACAATTTATGTCTGAGACCTTAGAAAGGTGCTGTGGCGATAGCTAACTCTGAGCTAAATCTGGAATAAGGCTGCTTTCTATATTATGTTGTTGGCAATTTATTAACTTTATCCTATGCATATTATCCAGAATTTAATTGTATTGAGGTAGTCTTAGGAAATGTGCAAAGAATGTATCCCAAAGCTCTTAGGAGTGCAGGACTACCAGAAAATCAATAATCTTTCAGGATTATGTAAAATGTCAATGTTAGGCAAACATAGTAAACAGCAGAAGAACTAAAGTTAATTCAAATGTAAGTCCTCAACCTATTTCTTTTGCCATCTTGATGAAAGCTTTGTAATTAGCTTTAGAATCAATGTTCCAATGCTATTGCTTTTTTTCTTATACTGCAAAGAGCATCTCCAATATGGAATCACTTAAAGAATGCCAATAAAGTTCTTAAGTACTTCATCATCAAAAACAAATTATCAGAATGGAAACATATGAGACCAATGTCATACTTCTTAATATGGTGGGAGGTTTCTCTAACTCCACCTATAGTTTATCTGAATGACTAATTACCTCCAATTACTTTGAAATCATCTAGAAAGCAGCAAGTTATCCCCTCCCATGGGAAAAACATGAACAGAAACTTTTTTAAAAAAATGAAACCTATATCTTATGAGTATCCTAACAGTGCCAGATCCAGAGATCTATGTGTTGAAAAATCACTGTAAGATTGAATTTTAAGTTATTGGGCTGCTTCAGAATGCTTCTTTCAAAGGAACTGTTAAAATATAACTTCTTGGTTTAGATTTCACAGGAAATTTGGGTAATTTTTCTAAAGGTCAAATAAGCCATGATTTATTGCAACTTTTCTTAACCCAGCACTCTTAGGAATGTTGGAATTGCAGCTCCCAGAAACCCATACTGCCTAGGAATTTTTGAATTTGCAGACCCAACATATCTGGCAGGTTCCAGGTTGGCATGACCAGCTATTTGGACTGAGATGGTGACATCTGACCCAAGCCAATGCATGAAGAATCTATTCTCTTGGAAGGGTACAATTTAGACCTTACATGCTGAAATACAATATTTTTCAGACTCTTATTAAAGACACAACTCTTCATTTAGGAGGTGAAGAAGGGATAAAAATGGACTTTTCAAGGTTTGACCTTATCTCAACACAGACAGGCAAAGAGAAAAGACTTGTTAACCAAATACAAGCAACTCTGATTCTGATATATACAGTATATCAACTTTAAGATGCTCAGCTTTGAATCAGGGAGACCTGGACTAAATTTTTCACTCAGTCACAATGTTCCCAAAGAATCCAAATGACCTTCTCATACAAGGAAACAGATACCAGGATGGCAAGCATTGCTATTTGCTTCCCCAAACAATAAACATAATTCTACCTTAATCAAAGCCAATTCAATTATACACTACAGAGCAATATACTAGAGTGTTTGCCACCAAGCACACTCAGCATGACTTGGGCAATTCTGGCTTTCTGTTAAAGGCATCTATACAATGCACTTGTTTTCACTGGTCACATTTTTTAAGATATGCATCTAGTAAACTATAGACTGTAAAAGGGTTCTCTTTCAAGGTTTCAAGGATGCATTTGCAGAGTAACAATTGTCTGCATACAAAACACTTTACAGTTCTCATCTTACGTTGCTCTTCCAAATAATCTTGCTAGGAAGATAAGTCAAACAAAGCAACCAGTTAGGGATTTGATTATGAACTGCAAGCATTCACAAACAGTGAGGCTTACTACACTTTACTAGGAGCACATCTGCTTTCAGCAACAAAGAATATTCTAGAGAACCAATATGTTATGTAACACACACACACACACACAAACACACACATCACAATTAACCTTGACATCATACCTTATCAAAAACTCTGAATGCCTCACGGATTTCTTCCTCGCTGTCTGTGTCCTTCATTTTTCTAGCCATCATGGTCAAGAATTCTGGGAAATCAATGGTACCATTGCCTGTCAAAAAAAGAATAAGAAGAAAAAACATGTCCAAATGTATTTTCAACTCTATCAAACCACAATTTGTTCTATCTTCTTCCTCTCGATCTATTCCTCTTTGGTTAAAAATTTGTACTGCAATTGGATTCTCATACATTTTTTCTAATTGAACGAAATACCTCAATGTAGTTCTTTCATACTATTCACTCAGTTTTTGTCTTCAATGAACGTTCATTCACCTATTTTTTTCTTGACCTAGCTCTTGTTTTATCAAGCACACTTCTTAAGTATCCTACTCCTATTGCATTCAACTTACTTTTATGTTTTTCCTGACATACCTAAGCCTCACTACTGTTTAACATTCATGTTATTCACTGCCTTTCTACCAGATTTACGTATCTTAAAATTGTACTATCCATTCTGCCAAGGGACACAAATTAATCTGCTTGTTTCAGTCCTTCACCATTTATGTATAACTTAGAATCATTCACTCCATTTTTCTTTCAAAGACCACTGCTCTTTATTAATTTTTAGATCCATATTCCTTGTTCCTTTTAACATTCACTGACAATCATTTTGGTTCTCAGCCAAAATATATGGCATCATATACATGCTCTCAGTTTTTAAAGAATAAAAGTGTTTGTTGAAAGACTAGATACTGACCTAACTGTCCAAGATCTTAGGGCTGTTAGAATTTGATACCGAAGATGCAGCAGCGATACCTTAAGGTTAGACTACTTAGCAACAACACGCAGAACAGTAGCAACTTTCTCCAATCTATATATTTTGAAATACAAACCCCTTCATCTTCAGCTAGCTAGCTAGTTGACAAAGGCTGTTTCACTGGGTTTCTGCTTTTTTCCATACGAGAGCCCCTTTATATCACCAAAGGTTTTAGATATTGAAGATGCAATTTCTTAGTAGAAGTCAATCACATTTAATTCCTGCTGTCCTGAATTCCTTTGACTGTATTAGATAGCTGACCCCAAATTTGTGCTGTCCAGATCAAAGGCCATAGCAGGTAGAAATGTTAGGGGTTGGGAAAGGCAGAAATTAGATTTATTCCCTTCTATTATCCACTCAACTATGAACTGGAAATTCTAGGTCTTTACATAATCCAGATTCTCTCTCTAGTTTTAATGCTAACTTCCCTTCACAGTCATTCTATTATCATATCCTTTCTCCTCAGATTCCAAATTAATTTTTAAAGGAAATGAAATCTGATTGCTGACATTGGGAAATGGGTAGAAGACTGGAGTGCAAGTGATGAAGGTCAACATTATGACGTTTTGCTTAGCACATGATATATTCCTTACATTCAGTGGAGTGCCACAACAACAATCTGAGGGACAGATCTACAAAATTCTCAGTTGTATTTTTTTTTGGGGGGGGGTAGTATAATTGACCCTAATAGACACTTTTCTTAAGCACTCTTCTATATTTTTTAGATATAAGACAAATTAACCAAGTATAAGCAGACAACTATTTTATTAATCGTTGGTTCTCATATCTCTAACACATGATATACAGCAGTAAGCTTTCTCAAACTTGATGCCTTCCAGTTATGGTTGGACTACTCCTATTATTCATACCCAGCATGTTGGCAGAGAATTATGGGAGTTATACCCAATCAGGAGACAACAGTGTGGTAGCCCTCTGTATCCCTTCCACTAGGTTATTATACCAGAAATCTTTTTGTTGACAGGACAAGATGATATAGATAGCTGTAAGAAAGTATTGAAAGAAAGTAAGAAAGTATATGCTGGTGGCGTTTTGCAAAAAGGAGTCGGGAGCAGTTTCCAGTAAGCGCAAAAAACCGTGCGCGCCCAAAAAGGGCGCAAAGCAACGGAAACCCCGCCTCCTGTGCTTGCCAGCTGGGCTCTGCTCTAGGA